AGTTGTTTTAGTCAGCTGTTTTGCTGCTGTGACTAAAAGAGGAAAAGTTTAAGGGCTCACAGACAGAGGTCTTAATCCATAGAAGGCCGGCTCCATTCTTTGGGACTCCAAATGAGACAGACATCATGGTGGAAGAATCTGGCAGCGGGAAACAGGTCACATGTTGATCAGGAAGCAGAGAGAGAGATAGTCTCCACTTTCCAGATAAAACATATATACCCCAAAGCCACTCCCCCAAGTCCCACCTCCTCCATCCACAGCCTACCACTTCAGTTATCACGCAGTTAATCTCTAACAGGGGATTAATTCACTGGTTGGGTTGAGATGCTTGTAATCCAATCATTTCTCCTCTGAATCTTATTGCATTGTCTCACATGTGAGCTTTGGGGGGATACTTCACATTCAAACCATAGCACCAGTAAAATATTTTGTAGTCATGGCATACATTAATTTTATGATTTCTTTATCTTGGTTTTAGCCAAAGTCATACCCTTGCTATCAGAAAACTGTGCTGGAAGAATTGCAATGGAAAAGCCCAGCAGAGTGAAGGAGAAGGTGCTGACTGGTTACACTTTGCGAGCTGTGGTGAAGATCACACTGTGAAGATATACAGAGTTAACAAATGTGCACTGTAATGGGCTTCATTATCACATGCTTACAGTCATTGGTGTCTTAAAATGTTTATCATGTAAATAGATCACCTTTCACCTTCACAACTGAATCAAGTTTCTTTTTTAAGTCTAAAAGCAGTCCTTATTTAGGTCCTAGATCCTTTGAAATTGATGAAAGCTGTACATCCCTTTCCTTGTTATAGAATTTATATGTATATTTACACATACCCAAGACCTTTGTTCATACTTTCAGAGATTCTTGGATCTACTTTCCATAAGTCCCAGATTAAGAACATCTAGGGCCTGAAGTTGTGGCTCAATGGTAGTGCGCTTGCCTAGCATGTGTGAGGAACTGGGTTCCATCCTCAACACATCCAAATAAGTAAAATAAAGATCCATCAACACTAAAAAAATATATTAAAAAAACCCCAAAGAACAACAGCTATACTTGATCACATTTGCCTGGTTTTGTGTTATTTTGGGGCCTTTTCATTTACCCCTCTGAATCTGTTTTGTGTTGCTGTAACAAAATGCCTGGTGCTGGGTACTTTAAAAGAGGCTTATTTAAATCAGAGTTCTGGGGTTCCAAGAACATGGTCCTGAGATCTGCTTGGCTCTGGTGAAAGCTTCATGGCAGATGGAATAATAATGGTGGGAGTGTATGTGGAAGAAAGAGGTCATTTGTTGAGGCAGACAGAAAGGGAGATTCAAGGAAGGTGCCAGACTTGCTTGTAACAACCCAGTCTCATGAGAATACACTCCAGTGAGAATGTGCTCCTGATAGAAAAGTATTCTTCTCACCTGCCACTTGACCCCACCTCATAAAGGTTTCAGCACCTCTCAACACCACCACCCTGGGGACCAAGCCCCCAGAACGTGAACCTGTGGGGAACACATTGGAATCATATCTAAACCATGCATCCTCTTTGGGATACATCATATTTATTACCTTCTTCAGAAGGTAGACATAGAAAATAAAAAGAGAATAAATCCAGATTGTTCAATTTTTAACATTTTTTTGTAAATAAACATACCACACCCAGTGTGCTAACTTGGACTTGACCCTTTCTTCCTAGTATACGCCAGTTATTCTAGGAATTTGGCAAGCAGTCATAAGTTTGAACTACAGCCAATCCTTTATTCTTTAAAGGTACGTAAGTTCTGCTTTTGTGGGTTTACTTAAAGTAGAATATTTGGACATTTAAACTTACAGATTTAGGTTTTGAAAAATAGAGTTCTGAATCATCTGAATGTATACAGTAGCTGAAGCCACGAGAGGGTAGAATATTTGTGCCCTGGGGACGATGCTGAGGGAGGACAAGGGTGCCAGAAATGATCTTGGAGTGCCAGCTGAAGGTTAGAGGCAGGCCAGGACTGTGAGATATGAGGATGGGGGCTTGAGTCTAGCCCTGTTGGAACATAGAGTCATCAGGCAAATTCAGTATGTTGAAAAAAGGAAGGTGAGAATTTTGTGCCATTGTTTAATATGATATTTTGCTTTCAAAGGTGTTCAGTTGTGTTTTCTAGATGGACATTTTTAGGCCTGTGCTATACAATATTTCTAGTTCAATAGTGAGCTACATATATAATTTTAAACACATATAGCCACATAATAAATGGAAACAGGTGAAGTTTATTTTAATATTAAATTTACTGTAATGCAATGTGTACAAAACATACTGTTGACCCTCTGTATCCATGGGTTCCACATAACATGGATTCAACCAGCCATGGATTGAAAATAGTAGGAAAAATTGCATCTCTTCTATACTTGTGCAGACTTGTCTTGTAGTTATTCCTTAAAAGATAAAGTGTAACAACTATTTACATAGCATTTGTGTTGTGTTAGGCATTGTAGGTAATCTTCAAGTAATTTACAGCATGCAGGAGGTTATATTCAAGTATAGTACCATTGTATATAAGGGACTTGAGCATCTTTGAATTTTGGTATCTGCTGAGGTTCTGGAACCAATCCTCCACGTATACTGAAGGGAAATTTTATTATCACATAAAAATTATTTATGAACTATTTTATACTAGGGGTCTGTCTCAGTGCAAACTAGCCACATTTCAGGTGCTCCATAGCCACATGTAACTAGAGGCCATCCATTCTTGGACATGCAGTTCTAGTCTATTTTCATCTCTACAAACTTGCCTTATATCCTCAGCTCTGAGTGTGTGTGTGTGTGTGTGTGTGTGTGTGTGTGTGTGTGTGTGTGTGTGTGTGTGTGTGAGAGAGAGAGAGAGAGAGAGAGAGAGAGTGTGAGAGAGAGACCAGAATACCCTGCCCTGCAAGATGCCATTTCTGTTCTTGTTCACTGAAGAATTTTTATCTGCATTGTCTCATAGGGTTTTGTTCTGACCTAAGTGCACACAGAATTCCAGAGCAGATTCAGTGAACTAACTTAGGCTTTTAGAACCTTTAACAGCCCAGAGCTCAACACCTTAAGGTTACCTGAAAGTAGGCCTTGCCTTCCAGAGACTGAGTTTCAAAGCTGACAATTTTCCAAAGTTGTACTGAAGTATCTTCCTCAGTAATCACCTGTGTAATTCCGGTTAGTAAGCATTCAGAGGACTTGCTATGCACTGGGGCAGTCTGCATGATAATTCATGTGAATTCTACACATTCATGTCAATCTACTAATGACCACCTTTTGAATCATATTGCAGTAATTTGTAATATCTAAAGCAAAAAGTTTGGAAACTTCACTCTGGAGGAACTGAGGTGTATTCTAGAATCCCCAGCCTGTCCTTCCTCTTGTCTCTCTCTTCTTTCTTAGCTTAATTTAGAGCATCAAATTTCAGATTAATGCCAAGCACCAGACTAAGCATTGCTGTTTTCTGACCTATGCAACTTTCCTAGATAGAGGAGAGGTGTTTGGATTGTTTTGAGTATCTGTTTGCTTTGGACAGCCAGCAACCAAATCACTTCTCAGTAATTTCAGAGGAAAGTAGAATTGATTATTAAGTCCAAATGGAGAATGTGGGGATTGGAAAAGGAAAAGCACAGAATCATTCTCCTTTTCACGTTAGAAATTGTGGCAGCATGAGCAAATCCTGGGTTGTCTGTAATAAGACCCTATTGCTAACCTGCTCTCAGTCCCTGCTGAGCTGTATTTTAAAGGTAGAAAGAGAGAGAGCTTCTGAATGAAATTTCCTTGGACAGCTCGTAAGCTTGATGCATAGAGTTACCTGGCAGGTTGGTTCAAAATTGATTGCAGCCAGTCTTGGTGGTGCATGCCTGTAATCCCAGCAACTCTCAGGAGGCTGAGGCAGGAGGAGGATCACAAGTTTGAGGCCAACTTCAGCAATTTAGTGAGGCCCTAAGCAATTTAGGAAGACTCTGACTCAAAATAAAAAAAATAAAAAGGGCTAGCCATATAGCTAAGTGATAAAGCACTCCTGGGTTCAATCCTCAGTACCAAAAAGCAACAAACAAAACAAAGAAAAAAAACTGATGGCTGGGCCTCAGCCCCCAGCCCCAGGTGCTATGTCCATGTGCTATGTCTATGAAAAGGACCACATCTAAGAAGACAGGCTTTTCAGGGACAGGCTGGTTTTCTGGGAAGGGAAACTTGGTAGATGTGGGAACAGCTTCCAGGCTACTCCTGGAATTATTGAGTGAAGTATTCATATTAGTTGCAGGATTTCAACTCAACATTAAAATCAAAACAACAGAAAAGCAACTAACAGACAAAAATGGGTTCCTTTAGGGTTAAGCTCAGTGAGGTGATTACAGGGAATCTAGGACCATGGTCAGTGGTTTCCAACAGAGGATTGCTGAAGACTCCAACCACCAGATCCTGGGTAGGCCTGGGCCTGCTGTGGGTAGAGTGACAAAACTAAATGTCTATTATGCAGCCCTTGTTAAACCAGGCTACTAAACAGTGATGGAGGTTGCCCTAACCAAAATGACATGACTAACAATGGGCTCTTTACTATCTTTCAGAAACATTTTCTGTAGTGAACACATGTCCTGTGTATGCCTTTGTGGCCACATTTCTCATTTCTATGGCAGTTCAAAAATGCCTTTGAAAAACCAAATATTGAACTTTAGTCATTGATGTGTTTACTGAAGTTCCTACAGCAATTTTACCAAGAGGTCTGCAACTTTGAAGTATGCAAAAAATCAGAATGATGGCTGGACAGAAAGACACATGGACATTTATGCAATGAAGCAAGTACCATAAAATATTAGAGGTAGTTTTTGTACACGCATATTCGTAGCAATATTATTCACAACAGCCAAGAGATGGAAGCAGCATAAGTCTCCATCAGTGGATGAATGGATCAACAATATGTGGTATATATGTACTATGTTTGCATATCATCCTTTAAAAGGAGGGAAATTCTGACATGATGATGGATAAACCTTGAGGATGTTAAGTGAAATAAATCAGTCATGAAAGATAAATACTGTATGATTTAATTTATATGGTGCATCTAGGGTAATTAAATGCATAAAAATAAAGTAGAATGGTAATAGCCAGGGGCAAGGATGTGGCACAGTAACCGGGGAGTTGACTGTAGTGTTTCATTTTTGCAAGATAAAAAAGTTGTAGAGAGTTCATCCATTGTCCTCCCTCAGTGAGCCTTCTGGGTCTTGCAGTATGGCAGAGCCTGCAGAAGCTGGAGCCTGGATCTGTGAGTTTCTGGAAACCTTCAGTGACACTTCAAATCTACAGAGTAGAAACTATCCTGCCTCAGATCCACATGGCTAGATGGGAAGACACACAAACAAAATGAAAAAACAAGGAAATAAAGTGCTCCAAACAAACCAAGCTGCTCCCATAAGAGAATCCATTGAAGAAATGTCAGAGAAGGAGTTCAGGATTTATTTAGTAAAACTGTTCTACAATTTAAAGAATTGTATAAGAGAGCAGCTACAGGAGTTAAGCAGTAAAATAATAGATTTGCTTCAGGAGATGAAAGATCACTTCTGTAAAGATACATTAGAGGTCCTGAAAAGAAATAAAGAAGAAATTCTTGAAGTGAAGGAATCACTAAACCAACTTAAAAGTTCAATGGAAAGTATCACCAACAGACAAGACCATTTGGAAGACAGAATCTCAGGCAATGAAGACAAAATATATAATCTTGAAAATAAAGTTGACCCCACAGAGAAGATGATAAATTGCGTGACATTCCCTCACCAGACACCATGCCTGAATAGCAACTGCTAAAGCCAACCAAGTGGAGCTACTGTGACTACTTCTGGGCTGATAAGAAGGATCCCCAAGGCAATGGCACGGTG